GAAACCCCCAGGGACAGACCTCTATTGATGTTGGTGTACCCTGGCCCCTTTGCTTCAACCCGCCTACGGGGACCCGTGCCACACAGAGCTCCAAACAAACGCAACCGGTCGGGGGCCTAGAACCTAGCCGCCTTCGTCCCCACTACTGCTGTAGCTTCACGATGCCCGTAAACACTGAAGGGATCCCGTCGGTAGGAAAAAAAACAAGCTCTGAGTGGCGAACTCTGCGACACAGCCACATAGCCTCGTGCCCTCCTGCTTTCCCCCAAATACGGGTTCAGTGCCGCCCAGACCTCCAGACCACAACGAGCCACCACAAAACCAAAGGGACTGTGTTCTGTTGATTTCTGTTGTAAAGACTGACGTCGGGCCTTGGCAGCACCGCACCGCGGGGTCTTCGCCTAGCACAGAAACCCGTGGAAACCAAACGCTTTGGAAGTCGGGGGCGTAGCTTACTAAGGATGCTTAGGTACTTGGAGTGAGGGACGAGGCTGCACAAGGGCTTGGGGATCACAGTAGGTCTCACACTAACTCAACCGGACTCGGACGCTGGCGTAGCTCTTCGGCGCAGAGGGGTCGGGGGCGCCCTTCCCCCTTACCTCACACGCTGTGCAAGCAAGCAAGACATGTGTTATACTCGTTCGTCACACCCCTCATTCCGCATAAAACATGCGGGTGGGCTTGAAGCCCGGGGTCTTGACCGACCCCTATGCCCGGAAGAGATGGGCGGCCTAGACGGTTCTTGTGTCAAGCAGTAACAGGCAGGAAGACGAGTTGTGGCTTGCTCGCATGCACACATCCACGGGACCATGAGATGCTTGTTTTGAAAGTGATCACCGAAGGTGTCAGACACGCTTGGATATTTTTCCCGTGCAGAAGAACCTGGCCGGGTGGCAGCGCACTTAAACGCAGATGTTCTGAGTGTAGCACACAGCCTGAAGTAAATTCTAAACTGCACAACTGAAACAGGTGGCCAGCGGGACACAAGTGCGCACAGTTCCGCCCAGAACTCAGACTCGGATCCCACGATGGACTCGATAGTCGGACCAGTCCGGCACAGTGGGGTTGGGTCGATGTGATTGTATTTGATTCATACGTCACCTTTATGTCGCAGTCTATAGAGTTGTATGCGTTGTCGCAGTTAAGCGGCTGAATTCGGGTGCATTCGTAATGGTTGGTACACACTGTTGTGAGATTTTGAGCTATGAGGGTTGAGCAGACTCGCGGCTGAGAACCCAGCGTAAAATCGTTGCGGTGCGGATCTATCAAAGTGGGACTTGGATTGTTGATGAACCGAACTCGCCAGCCTAATCCAGTCCGTCAAGCTGTGAGAGCCGACCGAAAGAATGCATCAGCCACTTCCATGAGCAACGGTGATCTACCATGTTCATGTTCAGATCGTCGTTAAAGATCTTTTTCTAGAGACATGCTCGTGGCGCCCACGTGCCTGATCATCGCCGAGCCCTGAACCCGCATGGCCAAGTTGTGATGATCCTCGCCTCACCCCTATGCACCTGAAACGCTTTCGTCGGGATGACTTGTGCGGTTGATTCAGTCGATTCTTTTCGTTGTTCAGTTCGCCAGCGGCCAACGAAGTGGCATCGTCGAAAGTGTCCGAGCAGCGCCGAGGGCCGCACTTCACAGTGAAACCGGTGAAAATGTCTGCCTGGTAGTAGTCATGCCAAGTTCGCAACGTGTCAGCCATGTGTATTTTAACGGTTCGGCCGGGCTGATCGGGCCGAGTGTCGGAAGGTCCAGGTGGCATTCGTCGTGCGTGAACATCAAGATTTCTTCATCGATGTTTGCTTGCACTGCCTCTAAACCCGAGCTTGCAGCATGGAGATACTTCGTGGGCAAAGGTCTGCTACATTTCCGACCATTGCAGCAGCAGCAGGGTTTCTCAGCGGGGGGACGGAAGGATTTCTATTTCGGCAGTTCTTGTTGTGTGAGTGTACGCGTGCTTCCAGTTGCACCAGCAGAGACTCTTGCCCGGGTGGTGGACGTTGGTTCAGCAGCAGTGTGCGTGTGTGCATGTAGGCGAGATGATATGCTAGGAAAGTCATATCCAGGAGTCCGAAAACTCGTTCGACAGCCCAGTAATTGGCTCAGATTTAGCTACCGCTTTGCTGGCCAATCATGGCTGCTGGACAGCTCCGGCTGCTGAAAGTCCCAAGGCGCGGCTCAGAGCATAGCAAGAACGGGTGTCTAGATCGTCGGGCATCCAAAGCAGTAAATGCGCAACGATCAAGCAGCAACGGAGATGTTTTGTTGTGCTGCAGGTGGCTATCTGAGCAGTGGCTGCAGTCAAAACCGCAGGACATTGTGGCCGATCTGGATCTTGATCCCGGTTCTGCACTTGAGTTTGAGCTGCATGCACACATTGCGGCTTTTCAGCCCGAGGTATTGCGAATCGCGGGTGGTTTACACGTGAGACAAACATTAGACACGCACCGAACGGTGAAAGCTGTGTAATTAAACCCTGTTAAGGCAATAAACAGGAGGACTGCTCGCATGCAGTGTCAGTCTTGGCACTGCTAGCTAAGGAGCAAGGAATCCTGAAATTGAACTCCGCGCGAGCTGGGTGTCCAACAAGTATGCGGGTGGAGCGTCGAGCTTCTCCTGAGCTTTTCAGCTTCTGGCAGCCCTTTGATGGCTCTGAGGTCCGATCGCAATGCAGTAGTAGGACCGGGCAGGACAGCAAATCGTGACATGTCACTATAGGGAACATTGGAAACACGTGGACAGGCGCCCATCGAGGGGATCGTTGAGTCTTTGACGCTGCAGCCAGACCTGAAAGACCGAAGCTACCGGAGCCTCCTTGATCAGCGCAAGGAAACAGAGACCGCATCATCCAGCCGCCGCAGTCGCCACGAAGAGCGCCTCATCCAGGGCGGCGAAAGGCCAACGGTGGTCAGAGCGACAAAAACCACACACACAGAGACAGAGACCAGCTCTCCTGGAGCTGCTCTCTCAGATGTTCTGGCAGCTGTGGAGACGGCATTGCAAACCGCCGGTACCACGGGGCTCAGTGGTTTGGAGCTTTTCGAAAGATTGCCGTCCGGTGGCTGCACACTGGCGCAGCTTCGGGATTCGCTCCTCGCCCTTGCCATCCCAATTCAAGCAGAGGATGGCGGTCGCCGCTACGCCGCTCGGACTGCCAGGTGGTCCAGCTCGTGACGCGGTCCACGGTGACTTCAGGCATTCTTTAGGCAACCCTTTTCCGGTCTTTTGGCTTGGCAGCTATGTACTCAGGTTTATGCACCGTGCATGGGGCGTGGTCGCAACGGCCAGATGATGCGATGGTCCCAGGAGAACGGGACTGGAGATGAAGCTCGCATCACTACGGGGCATCTGCGAAAGCGTGCTCGAACAACCACTAGTTGAGTATCTGAGCATGTGGTTGAGACATGAAGCGTGCGGAAGTGGCAGCAGGAAAAGTCAGTATGCCCGCTTTGTGTTTGGGTCCACGTGTGTATCCGAAGTCTTCATGGTGGCAAACGGGCCTCGAACCAATTCCAGAGTGCCAAGCTGCGTTTGGGACAGTCGGCAGGGGGAGCTTTTGCTACTGAGGTCCAGCCATCTGGCAGCGTTGAGCAGGTTCTGGCTGGGACTGAGTCAGGTGTTTGCCCTGCGGCTTGACATGGGATCACCGCCATCACATCTGAAGAATTTTCGTTCGGCACGTGCACTTCATCTGTTTGGCTTACTCAGCCAGTCACCCACTTGTCATGACACCTAGTCTTGAGGCATGCACTGAAACAGGGCTGTAGGCCGCAAGCAGCTTCAGTTACACGGAATCGACTGAATGCAACACAGAATGCTTTAGCCAACATGACCCACGCCTTGCAAGCCCGGGTCGTGAAAGCGTAAGAAGATCCACATGGGCAGACGAAAGCGCCAAAAGACAGCTGGGACGGCATCGGCATTCAGCAGTGAAGACGGAGCTACGTGGTTTCCACCAGCCTGTGAGCCAGCTGAAGCTTGGGCCGGATCCGTCTGCTTGGATGAAGTCCTTCTTAGGAATGCTGGCTCATTCCTGTCAGGGTCAGGCTCTTTGGGCTCCTTGAAGGCCGCCCTGAAAGGCTTGGACAGCCTGTCTATGGGAAAGCTTGCGTTCGCTTCCCGTGATCTTTACTTCGCTGTTCGAGAAGCGGCCGCTCTGCGAATCAAACTCGGCCTCGGCCATGGCATCAATGCGGACCTGGCGTCGCGGCGCTTCGAAAATCCTCTTCTTGTCTTTAGCCACCTGGAGTCCATGGCGAACGCGCCTTTTCTGTTTGCTTCTTTGCGCGGATTGCTTCGATGTCTCGTGGAGAGAGCTAGGGACGAATCAAGCGCGATCTTGCTTGAAGTTTCGCCAGGAAACGATCGCTTGTGTGAGTTACTTTGTGAGCTGGTGTTTGAGACGGACATTCAAAGTCAAGAAAGGCAAGGCCGCTCAAATGATGCTGCTCAAATTCGTGCTTCCACGCTGGCACGCCTGGCGTCGCTGATGTACCAGTACAAGCCCCCGTCACCAGACGATAGCTTGAGGATTTTGGAGAGAATGCTTAGCCTCAGAACAAATCCGCATACCAAAATTGATGCTGCCTATATCGCGGAGCAGGGGGGTGTGGCCGCGCAGCTTGCACACGGACTGCCCAACCTCCTGCCAACGACGCATACATGTAAGAGTTTAGCTTCAAAGACCAAGAAGATTGTCGTTGCTAAGCTGATATGCCAGTTGCTGGAGCGTCTCATCTTCCCTGTGTCAGAAGCAAGAATCGTCTTGCAGTTTTCGCTCCCCGCCGAGAGGGCTGTCAGCCAGCAGCTCATGCACGGACAAACCACATCATTCATGCACAATGTCCATGTGTTGGAAAGCGAAGCATGGAACGCCGGCAAAGCCTTGGACGTGTTCGCCATCGATGCGAAAAGACGTTACGTCCTGGTTCTGGAAGAGAGTGCCGTAGCACAGTGAGACAAAATGGAATACCTTGGCTTAGGCTTCTCCAGACCGCGAATGCGCGACTCTTGCCGCTTAGACTCTTAGACGTGGAACTCCGTCTCGTGCCTTCGGAGACGGAGCAGAAAGGAAGAAGGGGGGCCGCTGGCCACTGGACACCTTCAGGTGCGCAGGAAGATACTGTACGAAAACATCGACATCGACGCCCGCTGCAACTCCGCTACCGGTCTGTGCGTGCAGTGTCAGCCAATCTGACCTGCCCAACAGCAATTATGAAGCAGTGCTGTACGGGGGAGGGGGGGGAAGGCGCGGGGAGCGCATTGGACGGCAGAAATTATACATGACATCAGAGTGACATCAACATCTCGCTCTGCGTGTGTGTGAAAGTGTTGACACCGAGCACAGTTCAAGGTTCGAATACTGCCGGGTGCATGGGTCTTACCACCAGCTCGGCAAGCACAACGCGACAGTGAGCGCAATTGCTAGGGTCGTAGAAGTTACATCGCTGGGACCGAGATCTCAGGTCTACTACGAGCAGCTTAGCATCACCGAGCCGGCCCAGCTCCCGGGTCGTTTTTCACGTTGGTTTACATGTTTGCTTTTGGGCCAAGGTAGTGCTAGTGGGCGCAGGAAAGGAGCTGCCGACCATTTGGGGCGGGTTAGTGCCTTACTGCCGATGGTTTGCAGGGAACGATGAGGAGGCCTTTGCAGCATCTAGACCCAATGTAGACTCTACCTGTTGATGCACATGTTAGAGTTGCATGTCGCACGACTCTCGAGAAGGAAAGATGGGGTTGTTGTCTCCGGAGCTGGTGCATCGGCATGTGCACGAAGCCGAGTTCTGAACCGCTCTGGCCGAAACATGCCATCGGATCCTGTGGCACTCAAGGCTTTGAGACATCTGAGACTCTGCGCAGAGCAGCAGCTCCCAGACTCCCTGCTTCCAAGAGCACTGGGCAAGTGCAAGGCGTGCGGTCTGGTGTTTCCGCTGAAAGGTCGAGCTGTCACGCGCTGACTGTCAGGCACTAAGCCGCTAAGCTTCAACATCCCGCAATCCCTTGGCTGGGTAACGCACTTGCTGGCACACGGAAATCTCGCTCAGTCTTGCTCTTGACGGTGAGCTGTGTAAGCCGTATAGTAGCCGGGTATTGACCTCTCTAACCTTCCAAGATCAAAGCATGCTTGTGCTGATTGCGAGTGGGTTGTCCTTTCGTTTCTTGCCCTTGCCCAACATTTCGCCCGGCCCTTTGCGATGAACACAGGATGCGGTTTCGGGATGCAGCTTCACTACTTGTAGCCTTCGCTGCAGCTTCCTGCTGGAAGTTGAAGTGCCTGAAGCTCTTGTGGCAAGTAACATGCCTCCCGAAAACAAAACAACAATGGGCCGCTGGGCATCAGGTCAGCAATTCCAGCCCCCTCATAGAAGGCTGTGAGATTGTGATGGGCTCAGGGAGGAGCTGCCCTCTGCTTTGGAAATCTGGGTTGGGTGGTTTAGGCTTGTTTTGGAGCCTGCTACCAGTAGGAGATGCTAGGAGATGACCTCGCGCACGTACGGAAGGTCGGTATATACACTTGGGGTGATATAGTTTGTGCTGCATGCGCCAAGGTTGGGTCCTGCGGCGATCCCGCAAGGGGCGCTCCTGCAGGGCTGGAGGCGACATACAAGTTATTCATGGTCACTCTTGCTGATCGTCGCCTGGCAAGGTTCGAGGCCAGTCATGTCCAGTTGAGTCCTTGGTTCTGCAGAGAACACGTTGCAGAGCCCCTTCTGTCTTTGCCAGCTCTCGATCCACTGCGTCTAAACTTAGCGGCAGTTCAAGGCGGTTTCAAAAAATGAACTCGTTGATTGATGACATGTACAAGAGTTACAAGAGAAAGCAGAGGTCATCCGTGAATGCCGTATCTTCGACCACGCAGGAGAAATTGGAAGAGTTCAACGCACGAAGCTGTAGGAGGGGACTTTGGTCATCTGTCCTTTGAAGCCAGGAGCGGGCATTTCTTTCCTGCAAGGTGCCTGCGGTTTGGTCTTGGGCTCGGACTCGGTTGCATTCCGGAGAAACGTTGCATGCCATGGGATCGCCATGACGGCTGATCGAGATCCTGTCGTCTGCAGTGGCTCCAGATCTAGATGTGTCGTGGAAATAGAGACCTGAGATGACAAACCTGCCAGTTCGCAGCAGACGATGTCAGACAACCCCAGCTTCAGTAGCCAGGTGCTGATCTAGAGTTTCCATCGAGGGAGAGCATTGAAGATGGCTCAGAGCCACATGCCGATGAGGCTTTCTACTAACTCTTGCACTGCAAGCCTTGTGTCTGTAGAACTCGCTAATGCCTCCAAGCGTGCCATGTTCGGTGCAGTGGGGGCCCGGTGCATCGCCGCCGTGCCTCGGAAGATCGACTAGGACGTGTTAAGGCAGATCTGAAAAACCGGCTACTCCCGCCTCTCCGGCCGAAGTGTTGGGGTTGTTGTCTTGGCCGTCTCGGCCTTTTTTGATTGAGGCCTGCTGTAGCCTGTTAGTGAAAAAAGGTAGTATAGTAGTGATTCTGGTGGAGCCCCCATAGTGCCATAATGTGCCATATGTTTCAGAGCATTCTGGGCCGTCGTCTTCGACATGGCGCACAGGTTTGGCCTAAGGCCTGACCCTTTGGCAACAGAGAGGGATTCAGCGCACAGGGGCTCGGAGAGCAGATGCTCTGACGACTTGAAAGAAAAGGACTGTGTTTCAAGGCTTCGTAGGACGAGGAGCGAGTTCATTATGGGAAATGTCGCCTCAGGAGGCAAGCATGGGTCCTGTTCGAGACGATGGATCGACTGTAGACACACTTCGAGATACGTTTCACGACGACAATGAAGCCCAGACAGAAGGTGCACGCAACTGTGACGGCAGAACCAACAACCCAAACAGCAAGAATTCGATCGGCATCTGGCCAAAGACAGCTGAGTTGGTCAAAACAAATCTAATTGTCTATTCGTGCTTTCGTCACGTCTGACCACACCATGAATCAATGTCCTTACAGAGTCCAATATTGCCATAGTTGTCCTCTGTAACGAAGACGTACATGTCATGAACAATGACACGAGCAAGTCTGAGAGTAGAGTCCTAACACATGCGGTTACTGCATGTGCTTTCAGAACACAAAACGTGTTGGTTGAAGATGTGAGTGGCCCTTGTTCCAGAAGCTACATGCAAGAGTCTGCACATCTTTCCTTGTGAAGCACAGCAACTTCGAGCTTCGCACTTGCTGAATACGATTGCCTCTGGGTTAATTGTGGCTCTTGCCGTAGTTGGCACTCTGTCTGCTGTTAAGCTTCAGGTGCGCTGCGTCACGCTTTTCGTCGTGTCCCTGGCCAGCGCTGCTGGCCTGATGCTGTTGCAACCTCGACGGCTCTGCGTGCCAATGCCGCTGTGCTTGTCATCTCGCGCTGGCTCGCCAAGGCTGCTCTCATGGCAGGATGACGACAGCGACAGCCAAAGACAGTTCAGGCCAGGCACTGCGCTCATCACTCACCTATAGCATGTACTGCAGATGTTGGCTTTGAAAGGACAGGTGCCACACAGCCGATGGCTGCGGCGGAGGCACGCAGACCGTCGGCACAGGCCTCCTCAGCTGCTGCAATATTCTTCGAGAGTGTCCAGCAAGCGAAAATAATTTGCAGGAAGCTGCAGCAGCTGAGGTGCGACGGGCTGGGGAGTAAGAGGGGCATCTGCAGTACAATGGAGTGGAAATGCTAAGACCCCTAGACAGCGGCGATGGTTTCGCTTCAGCTACGCTTCGCAAGGAGCAGAACGAGTCTAAAACAAATTTTATTTGCCAGCGACGTTCTGTGTCTCGACATGGCAAGTGGGAGCTATTCTCGGCCTGTGAGGGGCCAGCTCGGATGATGCAGGCTTATGATTGCTTTAGATTTAGCGATCAAAGTAGTCCTCCGAACTCCCTGCATCATCTGCCCAAGTCTAGTTCCTGAGCCATGTCCTCCCCCTTGCCATTGCTCCTGCTCTATGCTGTCATGAGACGCGCAGAATGCGGATAGCTGGCACGGTTCAAGCATCTGAGATTCTCGCAGGCTCTGGCCCGGCACCTCCGTGGACCCCGGCCAGCGCTCGATCCGCTGACGCAGCCTCGGAGTCTCTCTTTTGCTGTGGCACAACAGGCGGCCCAAGACTAGACCCTGCCCCTCCCTGTCCCCTTCGCTTGTCGCAAGGCTTGACACCCCATTGTCAGCTGCATCCACAATTGTCAGTCGTCGGCTTAGCATACTGGAGGTGGAAGTGTGGGTACCTTTGGGCTTGTGCATATGTGGTGTGCTGTAAGTCCCGAATTCGGTATCGGGCATGTGGATGGGTGTTCTTTCTCGAACGCACTGGCAAACTGTGGGGTACTCGACAAAGGCACGGATTTGCAGAGTTCGTCGTCTGTCACGACCGTTGAAGGAGCAATGTGTCTAAGATCAGGTTTCAAGTGAGATCATCGAGGGAAAGCATGTGAAAAATTATGCAACAAGTGGGGCCAGGCCGGAGAGTCGTACCACACCGAGGCCCTGCTTTGTCGGACGCCAGCTGGGAGCTTCCAGAAGCAGGCAGTCGACATGGTGTTTCTAACACGGGACGGCTTGTAGCAGAGCGCTTGCATGGGCCTCCGCGTTGACAGGTGTTGACACTGAGCCTGCATCAAGACCGCCGGATGAAGCAGATGAGCGTGGGTAAAGTTGTAGATGCCGCCGTGGCTTGCATGCATCATGGGCAAGAAGTCCGTTGGAGAGGAATTCGGCCTTGACTCAGCCCCAAGAACCTACTAAATAAATCCTGCAGCTGGTGCAAATCAGCAGATTGTTTCAGTAGGCACTTGGGGCCAAGTGTTCCTTTGCGTGCTGCTTGAGGCCCTCCATGAGTCAGGAGCCACAGACACACGGAACCTTGGCTTGAAGGCTGCGCCCCAAAATGCGGGTCCACTGAGAGCAATTTTCGGCTTCTCGGCCTCGTTATCCTCATTATCCTAAATCCCGTCCTGGCTCCTGGATCTCGGTGGTCCACAAAGTCCCAAAGTCGGCACGGCCGCGCTATTTCGTGTGCTCCCGGCATCGATTGTCAACATCATGATCTACCCTGCAGGACGTTGAAGGTAGATTCGGTAGACTTCCCGCACGGCAGTCGCACTCGTGCCGCCAAGATTTCATTGGCCATGGTCGGACCTGTGCATAATTAGTAGTCTGCAATCTGTCCGACTCAATGCTTTAACCAGTGGACCACAGTCTCCGGTCCCATGTTCCTGGCGCACGGAGACGCCCCACGGTTAGGAACCTGAGTTTGACGAAGGATGACAGCGGCAAGATTGCACGGTTCAAAACAACATCACTGGCTGCTTGCAAGCCCAAGCTCCGATCCAATCCGAGAATCATTCATTTTCAGGTTCCTAGTGTTGCGCACAATCCGGATTGTGTCTCGCTGTGAAAAACCTGCGTTTGGCCGTCACGTGTTGTCGCTGTCCTGAGAGCCTATGGGCCGGTTTCGGCTACTGCGCTGGTCGTGGTGCGCTATGGTGCATTCACCCTTTCCTTTTCGCATTTTTCCAACTGTAGGTGGCAGCTTGCGATGTGACTCGCTGTGCAGCAGCCTTAGTCGGTGCTTGCATAGGGCACATTCTAGAAGCCTGGATCGCTGCAAAGTCCCTGTCGAGGCATGTGGTATTTGGCTGGAAGGCGCGGCTGCCAGCACCCACGAGAGAACCGCATGTCTACAGACTGGGACTCAAGCTCACCTGCCTCTCCTTGCAAAGGCGAGGCGAATCCGATTATTTGGCGCAATACGCTGGCCGGACATCGAGGAGCAGGAGTGGTGGCCACAACCTTAGCCGTCACAGCTCGAAAGTTTGGAGCCTGCTCCTCCATGAATCTGCATTCCAGTTTGTACGGGCTCGCAGTGGGGGAGCAGCTGACAGCCGTTTGTGCCACTGTTAAACGACATCACTGCAGATTACTGTTCTAATACCGCAATATCGTCGACATTTGTAGACTATCATCCTTTCACGAAAACTTACTAGGGTAGAGAGGTCATCCCTGCGCGCGATGTGCTCGGCGCTTCGCGGCTTGGAAGGGAGTATGTGACGTGGGGCAATGCACGGGGAGAACGATGCTGGCTTCAGTTCGCCTGCCTCCCACCTATGTGCCCCCGGGACAAGTCCGGCCAAAGGAGCCAGGCCTTTTCACCTTCCCGGTACCACGGGAGACGTGCACCTTGGTCAGCAGAGCTGCTTGATTGTTGCATTGGTCCTACTGGCGACAAGAGGACACCTTCGAAAACTGGTAAGGCATGCGCAGGGGAAGCGGGCCTCAGCACGAGCTAAATGTTTGTGCCATAAACCAGGGTCAGAAATTACAGACAAAGTGGTTGCATGCAAGCCCGGACCGCAGAAGGTAATCTTGGTGTGCATTTTTTTGCACCTTCTAGGGTTTACCATGGGTGGCCCTATCCTTCCGTCCTTGCTGCATCACTTCGATCTACAAGCGGCATCAACTTGGAAGATCGTGGTTGCATTCCCATGTGGCATGTTCTTTGCAGTGCTTGTTTTTCCTTATCTGAGCGATCAGAGGGGCCGCCGACCTGTGCTGATGATCTCGTACTTCGGAGTTGGGGCTTTCTTCGTCCTCCAAGCTCTTGCTGTGTACCTCGAGAATCTGCCACTCTTCATTTTGATGCGCTTTTGCAGCGGTTCTTTTGCTGGAGCGTCCACAGTGGTGAAGGCTTACATTGCGGACGAGGCCGACCCAAAGGATCTGCCGAAGTGGATGGCACACCGAGAAGCTGCGGCTACCTGTGCCTTCGTCGTGGGCCCCCTTCTGGGAGGTTACATCCTGGAGCTTGCGCCCTGTGGGGGTTTGGAGGCCGTCCTTCTCCTGATTGGAACCTCCTCCTTTCTGGCAGCGCTCCTGGTATTCCACTGGCTCCGACCCAGGCCCAGCCGGCCTGCCAGACAGCATCACCAAGAGTCCAGTTCTCAAAGCCAAAGAGTTGCGGACACAGCAAGTGCAGAGGATTCGGCACCATGGGTTTCCATCTTCACCATCATTGGGGTGACTTGCACGTATAACTTCGGGCAATCCTTCTTTGATGGTTTCTTCCCCGTGCTTTTCTCGCAGAGGTTTAGCTCTGACGGTCGTCATTTGGGGTTGGTACAGACAAGCTTAGCGGCATTGGTTTTTGTCGTGACTTATTTTGCCTACACCCCGCTGGTTCGTCGCTTTCGGCTGGTTCATGTGGCAGTTGCGGGACTCTTCATGATCGGACTTGGCGTGGCCTTGCTTGGGGTACAGCTGATGCCGCACGTCGTCGCCGCCGGGGACACTTGTCTTGTTAGACTCAGTCAGCTGACTTTAGCCCAAGACGACGACAGCATCACCATGGGTTTGGGATGGTTTGGGAATAAGTCAGGCCAGAGGCACGACACACAGGGACGAATCAAGCGCACATGACTGTGAAAGCACGAAGAGACAAGCGACAGACCGGGCAGAGGATTTTACAGGCCTGCGCTCCGAGGTCCTGCTGTATGCAGTTGGGGTACCGCTGTACGCCCCGAGTGTTCCGACCATGATGGCCCGGTGTGCTCCGAGCCAGAAGCGGGGCTTGGTCATGGGAGCGGACAGGCTTTTGCAACAAAGTTCCGTTAGTGGGTCGGCAGCATGCCAGTAGCACTTTATTTGCACATTTGATTTTTCTGGATGTTGTGTGACCTTCGAAGGAGTCGGCAGTCAACAGCCTGGCACGGATTGCGTCGCCGGTGCTTTTGGGCCACCTCTACGAGGCCCGATCTGCGCCGAGAGACTCCTGTTTTCGTCTCTTGCAGCTTAGGCAAGTCCTGAGCATGCTTTCCTTCTCGTCGGCATGGTCGTCATGGTGGGAGCGTTGGCCATGGCTTCAAAGCTTCTGGCCCTTTGTAGCAGATTCTGCTTTCGACAGAAGCCTTGAAAGCGAGTTTCGTTTGTCTGCACGTGTTAGGAGCAAACTGGGTACTGTGCACACGCAGGTTGTCTGTGGGTGCAGGTGTTCGTAAATCGAGACCTTGCTGTTGGCTTGGCCCATCTTGGCCAAAACCTCGGAGCATTTCGCCCTCTCTGGGCTGAGTGTGCCAGAGAGAGCGAAAGGGCAGGCAGGTAGGCGGAGGCAGTGCAGTTGCACAAGGTTCGGTTTGGTTCGGGCTAGCAGGCGGGGCTAGGCGGGAAAGACGGGTTAAAGGTGTCAAACAGATGGGGGATGCCCCTAGTTCCAGTCTCACGCCGACTGTGTGGCGCCGGATGCCGGACGGACAGAGCCCCCACGGGGGAGGGCGTGCCTGCACGCCTTAGCTCTGCAGCAAGCCAAGCAAGAGAGAGACGAAGCCGGCAGACCGCCCTTCCCCCTATGCAAAAGAGAGTGAGCGATAGAGAGACAAGAAAGGTTGAAAAGGGTGTGCACGAACGCGGGAGGTGGAGGGGACTCCAGACCTGCAGAAGGAGGAAAGAGAAAGGCTGGCCTTCAGGCGTAGAAGTCCAGTGGTTTCTTGAGACATGGCACGAAACCGTATCAGTGCGCGTCGCGCACGTGCTGCTCTATTGCAAGAGCACCGAGGCGCTGGCCCTCAGTTCGCTTTTCGAGTTGTAGCTGTGCTGCCAGCAGGGGCAATTCACTCGGACGGGAGATCGTTTTCAGTGGTTTGAGGGAGCACCTCACCTGGTGGCACGTTCTGGTTAGCTGGCTGGCTAAAGCGGCCAGCTGGCAGAGTCTTCCGGTTTTGAGCGTCGCTGTACTGGAGACCATGCTTGTCGGAGTGGTACTGGTAGCAAGGTGTTCACATGGATGGGTGCGTGATTGTGCGTGTGTGTGTGTGTCTGTGTGTCTGTGTGTTTGCGTTTCAGTGTGTGTGCATGTGCGCCCTTGTGTTGCCGCACGTGTTCTGGAGCTCAGGTTTGGACGATCGTTTCTAAATGCTGACGCTGCGGTGGCTTTAAGATGCTGAGCTTGACATGCTGTGGCGAAGTCTCGACCGCTCATGTACTTTCTCTCGGAAAGGGAAGCTCTCGGCGGGGCCCTGTCTCACGCAGCCCTGGTGCATTGCCAGGCCTTTGTTAGTTGTTTTCATTAGCGGTACACGTAGTGGTAGCGTCGCAGGAAGTGTACATTGAGAAGCGAGGAATGACAAGAACCCGCTATAATGGATTTCCTCAAGTTGACAATCTTGATTTTCTTGCAAAGAAACGATGAGAGTTCAGGACATGTGGTGGCAGTACTAGCAAAATAAAGCAGGATTTGTCATGCTCCCTCAGCGGCTCCTCCCTGCTCCCCTGCTCAAGGCGGAAGCAGCGGGGAGAAGCTGCTGAGAATTCGACTCCTTTGTGAGGTCAACAGATTCCGCAGCGATTTCAAGCAACTTGCTGCAGAAAAACCCTCCAGCTGTGATTGTCAATGAGACCTTAATGTTGCTAAAGGAAGCTTTACAAGGCTTACGTAAGCCCAGAAAGCCTGGAGTAGAGCCTTGAACTTCTCTCGCATATTTGGTTCCTTGCACGGTTAACAAGTTAACTACTTGAAGGTTTGCCGTGCTGTCCAGGTTCGGGCCAGTGGTCGAGGCTGCATCACTGGCTGCGGTCTTGGCTGTGCACTGTTGAAGACGGAGGGATGTCGTGCACGTTCGGAAAAGGCAACACCATTCTGCGCAACGGAGCTGGTGGACTGCTTGTAGAATCCTCACGGCGTGCTGTGACCACCATAGCTGGTCTCTCAGCCGAGGAAGCACATGTGATGTGCTGAATGCGGCACCGCCCCATCACCATCAAACTAAGGTTCGAAATCGTGTATGGGCCAACAGCGGATGTGACCTGCGACAGTCTCCAACCTCGACCGGACCCATCCTCAGCCATCACGATTTCAAGTCGAGCCTGGTCAGCTGCAGCAGGAGGAATTATTAATTACATTTTGAGCGCAAGACATGATTGAAGTTGCCGCAGGCCTCCTGGCTGGAAAGGCAATGCCCCCTTCTGGCGTGAGTTCTCCAGATAGAGACAGCACTGGCACGACTGACGGAGACCATAAAGCCGCGAGCTGCGTTCTCCAGCAGGGAGAGAACTGTAGGCGGCTGCTGTCACTCTGGCCAACACCGTGGGGCAGCGACCTCAAATCTGCAGGAAGTTGGACGGCATCAGCCCATGACTTTAGCAGGCGCATGAGGTGTAGGGATTGAGAGCCGGGGAAGCGGAGCCAGGCTCTCCTTTCGCATAATAACAATGATAAGTCATGGCGTGCGCAGTACTTTTCTTCATGCCGCGAAGTGAGATTTGAAGTTGATCCTGCCTGGTACGGGCCTGCTGAATGCCAGCATTGTGCCGCTTGTGCCTGACTAAATCTGGGAAAAGCATCGCAGCCTTCGTAGTCGTAGGCCACATCTCGACATACTCAGCTCGACTATGGTTGACTAGACATGGCCAAGTGATCGGCATCGGAGAGCTCACCGACTAGGCCATGGCCAAGACTCCAAGCGGCTCTCGTTCTGTTGTGTGAGAACCAGACGGTTGAAGGGGCGATCGAGTATAAGTGAGACAGTAAAGAGCATTGAGGCACCAGGATAGCCCATCTGCGAGTCATGGCACCGAACTTACGGCGCCGAGCTCAGACAGAATGTTGCAACAAGCCTTTCGGTCTGACGCGGCCGGTGCATGTCATAGACTCTTCTTCAAGGCGATCTGGCCACAGCGTGTGGTGACGAATTCGCCCGCGGCTCTTTCAGTCCATTCTTTCAGCTTGCTTAAAGCACCCGCGATCCATGGAACACCTGGCTTCGTGTGCACGTTGTCTCAGTCCAAGACATTTTCTGTCGCAAGAACTGATAATTGAATCGTCAGTAGCGTCACTAGAGTCGCTAGTGCGTCCAGGCAGATGCGGAGTGAACCGCCCAAGCTCAGCAACTGTGAACACAGCAGCATTCTGCCCGTGGAATATGAGCAGATGGCAGGAGGAGACTTTCTCGGGTCCAACACTGCAGGAGAGCATATATGCATCCTCGTCGAATGTTCACCTACTCAGGCGCGACCTGCGAGCAGCCGTGCGTGAAGCTCCATCAGACGGCTTTACGTTCCTCCAATTGCAGGGCAAAGTTGTGCTCGAGGAGCCCGCGTCGGGATGCTGCTTAATTATGTGCAGGAATACGACTTCCTGCCCAAAATATTGGTGAGTCCACATGCCTCGAGCCAGCAGATGCGTCAGCATGGCTGTCAGGATTGCCGAGCTGAGCCGAGTTGCTTCGTGCCGTGACTTGCGCAGGAGCCCCTTCTGTTGGATAAGCCTGTCATACTTGCAGGCAGAGATTTGCTTCAAGTTGTGTGGCTCCTTGCGATGGGTAGCCGTGCTGACGGGAGTGTGCTGTGGCAGGTGAGTCGTTAACAGGCGATTCAGGAAGCAACCTGGCTTGCTGCAGATGCAGACATTTGAAGGGCCATTTTCGGCTTTCCTCTTCCACAGGTCGCCTGTGCCATCTTTTGAGGCATCGAATCTCGAGGTGAACTGCACGGACCACCTGGTGGATCAGCGGTCGATCGCCAGTACTCCGTAGGAATCTAAGCATGTCATGTGGATCCGGTTGCTCGAGTAGGTCATCGTCGAAACTGCCGGGAGCTGCGCGCTGAGACCTTAGCTGACAGTCAAGCTCCTGCGTGAGTCAACTTATGATTCTGCTTTTCATGTTGCTTTCAAACTTGCGCTCTGACCCGAGCTGGCACTTCAGGCTTTGGCGCTTAAATTTGATTCTTTCGAGCGGGCCCAAGAGGAAGCAGCAGTCCGGCTCCGAGGGCCTCGAGACTGTTGGCCTGGCCAGGCCAACCACGCCCGCTTCTTGCGTGCAGGCGCGCTGCGCAGCGCGCAGCGATGCGCAGCGACCGAGTGTCAGAGAATGCCGGCACTGCCCGACTAGGTGGAGACAGGATGTCCAGTGCTGGTGGATTGTGCCCGCACCCCAGGCTGCAGCCGAATGGGCCAGAGTTGGGCGCGAAGTAGAAGCTCTCATAGAATCCCTCAGGACCTGCAGGTGCACGGTGTCCAGCTGGACGGATCTGCTCAATCCTCAGTGTCGTCAGAAAAAGCCATGTTACTGGACTTTTGTTGTTCTTCTTTGCTGAACTGCACGCAGCGAGGAGGACTGCAAGAAAGGAAGGAATACATAAACGGAGCCAAACCGAACGAAAACAACATAAAAAAGCAGGACATAGCAGGACGAGATAATTAACCAAGTAAATACGAAGATGAGAAAGAATGACATAACGACACGTAATCAATAATTAGGGATTAAGGGCGAGAGAACTAGATCAAGACAGAAGCAGGCAAACAACGAACGACCCAAATGAATTTACGAACGTAGACAACAAGCAACCGCAGACATGGAGAAGAAACGCCAAAAACAGAGGCACAGCAACACACACACACACAAACAAACACACACGAGCGAGCATGTCACGGCATAATTACATAGGGTCAACGAAATCAGACAGAACGACACCAGTAGATGTTTTGAACGCCGCGAACTAGTTGTGCGTGGATGGGTGGGGGGTGGGGTGGGTGCGTTTTGAGAAATGTGACCAACTGCCATCGCCAAATGAGGTTGCGGGTATGCGAGACATGTAATCAACCGATATCGGAGAAAGGGCGGCTAGCGACATGTGATGAGCAGCCCTCGCCCGATGAGGAGGCGGGTTTAAGAAATGCGATCAACCNNGGGGGGGGGGGGGGGGGGTGGGGAAGGGGGGGGGCCGCCCGCCAACCCTGCTATTGCAACCGCCATCGCCAAACGAGGGGGAAGTTTTCAGAAATGTGAACCGGCATCGCCTCATGAGGAATCGAGTTTACGACGTGTGACCAATCATCATCATCATCATCGCCTTCTGGGAGCCGGCTTGAGAAATGCGTTCAACGGCCGTCGCGCAATGAGGGAGTGAGTTTTGGGAAATATGATCAACCCCCATCGCTTTGTGGAAAGGCGGGTTTCATAAAGTTGAAATGTGCTTGGAGACACATGATCCACAGCCATCGCATAATCAGGGGCGTGTGAGAAATGCGATCAACCGGGGCTTGGGCTTGGCCACCAACATCTCCTTTTAGGGTTTGGGGTTTGCCACCCAACATGTCCTTTCAGGGCTAGGCCTTTCCCAGACAACATCGCCTTTTCGGGGTTGGGGATTTCTTAGCCGACATGTCCTTTGAGGGTTTGGGGCTGTAAGTCACCAATCCAAATCTCCCTTTTTAGGATGTGTGGCAACCAACATGGGGTACAATCACCAATCATGCCAATACTCCTAACAAAGGCGCGGGCAAGACGCCAGTTCTGCATGTACCACCACCATCACCACCACAATTGCCAGGACTGCCACAAACATTACTATTGCTTTTGCCACTATTGCATGCTAACTTTGCCGTCTCTTGAGTTACTTCAATGCAGCAGCATTCAGATGAAACTCCTCATTATCTTGCCTCAAAGCAAGGCCGCCATGCGGCTGCAGAACAAAACGTTGCATGAATTGAAAGAAGCAAGCCCGAAGCAATATCCTCATTTCGACATTGTTCAGCTGGCGGTCATAGTGAACTTCTTGGGGAACCAGGTGCCCACACACTGCATTCGGGCAGCTGGCGCTGCCGCCATGATTGACCGGAGATCTGCTTGACTGCCCGGCCAGTTTTCTCTCGTGAGGCGCTGAGTCCAAGCTGTTGCTGATCGGATGCTCTCTTGCGGGGGCGACAGGCTCGTGTCACTGATGCTTGCAAATGCAGACATATTCTTATTTGAGATTGCGTTGCTCGGTTCTGAGATGCTCATGACGGAGTGATGAACGGTGTGAGGGTGGACAGGTCATGCAAGCGCGTACAGCACATGCTGCCAGGAAACGGCTTGCTGCTGGTAGATGGAGCATCGGCTTCGATGGTTTGGCACCGATGGGTATTCAGGGGATGACTTCGGGAACCAGCAGCGTGCTCAGCGTGTCCAGGTGAGATGCCAGGTCAAGAGCAACCGCCAAGGTGGTGTTTTCCTCGCGTGGAGCTGAGAGTTTTGTCTAGGCCCCCTAGGATCCATTTTGGAGTCTGGGCGCGCACGATGGGAACCAAGAAACATGGAGCTACTCCCTGCTCTTATCTAGCATGTAAAGTAAAGCTTCACAAGCCAGGCGGACAGTGCCTCCCTGCTGGCCGAATCGTCTGACATCAGTCGTCTGCTGCTCAGTCTCCGGTTCACCAAGGATTTTCCTCGTGAGGAGGCATGCCATCGGATTTCTGACCTATGGAACCTGATGGGAAGCGAGGGCTGGTGACCCTTGGTCGCCTGCGTTTGGATGTGCCCCAGTAAGAGTGCACCTTTGCTCTTTCTGCAGATGATAAAGTAAAGCCAACGAACCTCAGCATTGCAGCTCAGCGTACGTAAGTCTGTCAGTGTTTCCGCGCTGCGTGGATGATTCGCCAGGGCAATATCAAGAACACGAACAGGGTGTAGCCAAAGAGGTATGTCAAAAACCCGCACCTGCCAAACCTTCGGACTACACAAGAGTATGTGTGTGTATATACATATGTGTGCATTTGCGCCGTGCTGCTAAGGCTTGCTGCGAATTGACACCTGTTACTTGTACCATCACAATCACACTTCGAAGTCTCAAATTCTCTGACTCGAGAACATTTACAATGAAGAGAAGGATGTTTCAATCCGCCTAGCTTTCCTTGTCGCGCGGGCTGAGCTTTTTCGGCGCAAGGCGCCAGTGCTCAGGTAACGGACACTTTGGCGTGGTTGCAGGCAGCAGGCTGGTTGCTCAGCGACAGGGTGGATGATTTCCGGGCGGGGCTACCGCCCGTCTGAGGTCCTGAGCCCCGCAAAAACAGCTGTCCAGAACACTACAGCTTCAAAGTGGAGTAGATTAGATGCATGTTCAGACAACTCTCCCAGGCTTCTTGTTTCTATCATCATCTACCAGCTGATGTGTTGCCAACTTGCTTCATGCATCGGCTCAAGAGCACCCCGGCTCATGTTCGCCGCGGCGGGCAGGGCACATGGAGGTGGAGGACATAGTAAATATTCATGCAGACAGTGACGACTATGTCACCGAAGTGGTGGACGTCACGGGTGGCAGTGATGAGGAGGACTTGGTGGAGGTGAAAGCGGGCGAGCCTCCCCGATATTTCCATGGTTACAGAAGGGGTCGCGAACTTGGCAGAGGCGCCTCTGGCCAAGTTTTCGTGTGCCACAAGAAGGGTACAGAAGGAGGCTTTGCCGCGGGCTTTGCCGTCAAAGCAGTGGACCTGCGAAGGCTTCATCTCCAGCCTAATGCAGAGCGCGAGGAGAAGAAGCTGAGCCGAGAAGTTGAGATTCTGAAGCGTCTTCCACCGCACCCAAACATTGTTCAGCAACTTGCCACTGTTCACCGCATACCTTAGTATTTCTGCTAGACGGCACAGCTGACCATTGCAATTACGCGGTTGTGCACTGCATGTTCTTGCAATCGATCCACGTTCGTTGTTTGTCGAGGCTGGTGGATACCTTCGAAGAAGGTGAGTGGTTTCTCTTGGTCCTAGAGCTGGTCGGTGGTGGGGACTTGTACACTGCGCCGAGTCAGCAAGATAAAGGTCAAACGAAGCGGAATGTAGAGTAGTCGCAGGGGCTTCTTGCTACTGTAGCCACTGAGTCTTGCAATGCGCTTCCATCGCATTGCGACGTTCTGCTGATGCGAGGTTCTGACGAACAGAGAGCCACCCAGACTGCACGAGCGTGAGGCTGCTTTTGTCTTGGCGCAGCTGGCAGGTGGGCTTGCATTCTTGCATGGTGTCTTGGCAATGATCATGGTTTCCGAAAGGATCGAAAGCTGCAGAAGTAACATCAGCTAGGTGGTTTCTGGATGCGGCAATATCCACCAGTTATCAGCCATTGCACATGGTTCAGCTGGTTTTGGTGACACTCGCTGGAAGCTGTGACGTGAGCATGTGTAACTGACCGCTGGCACCCCAACGTCAGCCCACATGACGAAGTAGCCTCCCCGAGGTCGATCTAGAATCTAGATGTTGGTGATTCTGTTTATCTTGCTACAAGCTAAGCAGTAGTCTTATTCCTGGTATCTTTTCGGCCTTCTTGTCTTGTTGTTGTTGGTTGTGTTGGTTGTTGTTTCTTGTCTGCGTGTCCGTCTGTGTGTCTGTCCCTCTGCCTGATTATCTGTTTGTCTGCTATTGTTTTTGCTTGTGTGATTGTTATCGGCATTGCACGAAGTGCTAATAATAAGAACTTGGTGTTTGCTAATGTTTGCTGGAGGCCGGGTTCCTCTGTGTCCTTCCCGAGCTGTGGCTCGACGGGGTTTCCAGGAACCGAGTCGGGCTTCGGCCCGGCGGCCAATGGCGTACATACCTTGTTCTTGTTGTTGTTGTTCTTGTTGTTGTTGTTGTTGTTGTTGTTGTTGTTGTTGTTGTTGGTTGTTGTTGGTTGTTGTTGTTAGTTGTTGTTTGTTGTTGGTTGTTGTTGGTTGTTGTTGTTTGTTGTTGTTTGTTGTTGTTTGTTGTTGTTTGTTGTTGTTTGTCGTTGTTTGTCGTTGTTTGTCGTTGTTTGTCGTTGTTTGTCGTTGTTTGTCGTTGTTTGTCGTTGTTTGTCGTTGTTT